GGAGGTGGGCGGGGGGGGCACCGGGCCGGCACTGCTTCCCTGCCTCCCCTCGCCCCGACGTCCGTGGGGCTGCGAGAGGGCTCTCCTCGGCCCCGCCGGGCAGCTGGGTGCCGCCTGGAACTCGCAAGCGGGTGCAAGGCTCTGAGGAAAGAAGGCTGGCTTGGGCTGTGACTGGCAGAGGAATGTGAAGTATTTGCCCAAAGTGGTGAGCTGTCAGGAAGTAAGGTGCCTGGTGCCTGTGTTCCTGATTAGAACAGGTATGTGCCAGCACATGACCGGCTGGACCATTGCTTAGGGTTGTTTATGTGTCTGTTACCCGCTCCCATTTAACCTGTGGCCGCTAATATAGCTCTGAGGACTCTTAAGAAAGAAAAGGTGTCCGTGAGTCAGATAGGTACATGTAAAATCATGTTAAGTTGTGATTGATATGTGTTGTTTCGCAGTGTTTAACGTGGGAGTGACTGTGCGTTTTGTTTTGTGAATGTTTGGTATCTGACGATCTAGCAGCAAGTGACCATGAGTTGGTGTAGTACTTCTCCGTAATGTAACAGATGAGGGTATCTTTCCTTTAGTCAGTTCTGTCAGGCTCACTCTGCTGAAGTGTAGTTGTTGTCAGTTATGATGTACAGTTTCAGAGGCTGAATATCAACCTGGAGACAAAACGCAGCAGTGCAAACTTTTAGTATTCACTGTTCAGCAGGACTAGGCTTGTAATAGAAGCATAAAAGTTGAAGGTATTGTGGTCTGTTGCTCTGAGTCCCATGAACTCTACTAATTTTTTTCAGGTACTGACCTGTCCAAAAATCTGGGGTTAAATTTAGAGTAGTTTTGTGGCACTTTGGTACATTACTGCTTTAATATTTGGTTGCATTAAGTGATACTAACAGCCGGGCAGTACAGTTTGCTGTCTGGTTAAAAACAGGAAGTAAGACGCGATCGACCGAGAGAGGTTTGGAGGGCTGGAAGGACGTGGATGGGCAGGAGGCTGAGGAGGCCCCGTGAAGGGACAGAAGGATGTAGCCGAAGTTGTTCAGTGTATGACTCTCTTTAGTATGAACAAAAGTTATTACCATCCTATGACTTCTCTGAAAATAAGCTGGTAGCCTTAGCCTGTTTCTGGTAAACAAAGCAAAACCACAATTAGGTAGTTTTCATATTAGCAAATGCAAAAGTATAAAGAACTGAAATGGAGGCAAACACTGGTTTCTTCTCCAATACTGGAAGGTAAGTTGTGCGAGACAAGATCAAGGCCCGTTAGTGGAATTGTGAGGAAGCTTGCGTAGCGTGTCCGTGACTAGTAAGGGTGTTGTGGTTGAAGACGGATGGATGCCTCATTAATTGTTCATTAATGGTCGCTACCTCATTATTACTTTAAGATCTTCCTTAAAGTGTTTGTTCTTTAGGTTTTGGATGAGCAAGGAAATATGAACGTGTACCTCCAAAATTAGGCAATTGATCTTCATCTACTTTCTTTATTGTGCCAGGTGTGAACAGGTCACTAAATAGCATCAGCCACTTTGACCTTTGTACAGCCTATAACTTTTTTTTGTCATGGATCGAGAAGCTTATTATTAAAAGTTAGATCACTGTCAGAACATTCACTTGGCGGATTTAAGGAATAGGTCAAGTCCTATGCATATAATAAATTAGTCTTGCCTGGTATAAAACCATGTATGCGTTTTGAAGGTCTGACAAAAATTATCAGCAGTTAAGCAAATACTGGATTGATCTGTCCCTGGCTCTGCAGTTTAAAGAGTTGCTGACTGCTTCTGCTGTGTGTGTATTTAAACAGAAGCTCTCTTTTCATAGTCTATTGTCATATCCTCTCTGATCTTACATAGAAGTCATAATGTTGAGTTTGAAAGATGTCATTTCCATGACTACAGATTAATGTCAGAAAGACATTTACTATTGCTTGATTTCATCCAACAGACAATGGAAGTGTGTGAGAGTCCTTTCTAAGCTGAGTAGTTAAAAGTAATTAAAGGAAAGCAGGTAAATATTATCCAAATAAAACATATGAAGGCCTTGCCTTTCAGGGTGTGGGGCTTTTGGTTAGCACTAAGAGTTTTTATCTAAACTCACTGTTTGGAGCATGCTGCACACAATTCTAAAACTCTTCTTTTTTTTCTTTTTTTTTTTTTTTTTTTAAATACTCAATTAAACTGTTTTCACACCAGAAGAATTTAGATAGCTCGGTAGTCAGAGGTAATATTTGACCTGGTTTCTAATAACTTGAGGTGATCTCTTCTAATGGCAAGAAACTTGAAAGCTGAGAAAATATAGAACTTACATCTGAATTGAAAGTCCAAGGTATTTCATACTTGTTTCTAAAATTGTATTAGGGTGGAAAGAGAAGTACGTGGTGAGTTTGAAATCACAAAGAGAATATTTGTGATTGGTGTCTGATTCTGTTTTTCAGTGACTGTCTGCCTGTGCTTTCCTGTTCCTCGACCAGTTGAGACTTATGTGCCTTGTATATACCAGACTGTATTAGCTAGTAATATTGGATTTATTACTCTTTTGCAGTGCCAGAATGATGGAGAGCCGTTGTGATGTGCTAGTGAATGCCTTTCTGTGCTGTTTGTCATCTTAATGCATTGTGTGTTGATGCAAGATAACTGTTTGGAGGGGGAAAAAACCTCACAAAATATATTGTCACCCAAGTCAGTTTCTTTAATATTAAACTTAAGTCCGCCTATATATTTTTGAACCTTACTCTGTCTCAAAGACATATGAATGAAAACGGCTATGTGAGAATTGTGGATGGAGAGTGTTAAGATTTGTGGAACATATATTTATTTTTTAAGCATTGTGAACATGCAGAAATAAGGAGTATGGTTGAAAGCAATGAAAAAATGGTTTCGTGTCTCCATAAGAGAGGACAAAGAGGAAGAGAATAGCGTGTGTCAGTTTTATGTGTTAGGAAGATCTGAGCTGCAAGCTGGGAAAAGGTTGCAGGTTGGCTGTGTCCTATACTGTAAAATTCTGTACGTTGAAGTTTCCGCCTCTCACCATTTCTTTCTCCACTGTACACAAGGGCAGGAACTTGGCTGAACCTTTCAAGCAGAGTCGTGTTCAAGAAACACATTTTTAGGTTCCAGGAAGGTTAAAGAAAGTACTCATGCATGAGGTGAGCGTGGATCTGTTGAAGACATGATGTAGAATGGGAAAGGCGTAGAGCAAGAGTATGTGTCACTGAAGATGGAGTATTGTACAAAAGAAATCTAGTGCTGTATGAGCACAGCAGTCTGAGGAAATGCATCTCCAAAATAATGATTTCCAGTGTTTGATTGTAAGATGCTTTTTGCTGCTTTTTTGTCAGAGCTGTTACGTCTTTACAGTGAACGTGTAGTAGTGTTCTGTGGAGTTTCTGATATTTTAATTTCCAAATTGCAGCATGCAGTCAAAAGTGATAATTCTGAGGTTATAGAATTACTTACCAAAGCTTTTAATGTATGGAGTCACCCTTTTTTACTACCTGCGTATAGTGACAAAACTGTAACATAGGAAGCTCAGAATGATGTTGGTACCTGGTTGAGTTAGCTTTGATGTTTCAGTTTCGCTGCCCCACCATGTATTTAACATTGCCACAAGCCTTGAGTACGGAGTCTCAGTCTCATTTGCTTATAACTTCACCAAAATGTAACTGTATTGGTCAGAAGTCTCTGTCCCTCACTCTGCCTCAACGCGTTTGTAAATTCAGATACCTCTAGAGCTTTTCCAATAGGGTTGTCTTTGTCAGGCATGGCTTTTGCAATCTCTATGAATATTTGCTTATGTTTGATGAAGTTGTGAACGTTTGAATACTTTTGGGTCACGCATTCACAAAAAAACCCTTGTTTCTGTCCTGCTGATTTCCCAGCCAGTCTTCAGCATGAGACTGAGCAGGGCTTTCCCACTTAACTGAGAGCAAGGAGACTTCCTTGTGCCTTTGACTTACCTGCTCATGCCCAGAGTAAAAGGCTTCCCTAGTATTCTGGGTAGGGGGACAGATGAAATCCTGTTTCATCTCTTGGTCAGGGGCTTAGCTTCGTTTTAGTTCTTGCAACAAGAGCTGCTTTGGACTGAATTATCCTTGTAGTTGGCCACTCCCTTATCGCTCAAATTTATATTTAATTCCATTATTCATAGTAAATCTCTTCTGGATGTTGAAGCATCAAGTACATTAAGATCATTCTTTGAAGAGACATCTCTTTAGACATCTGTCTGATTTGATGAATTATATAGTAAAGTGGTGTTACCTTTTAGTTTTGAGACTTCTGATGGCAGCTGTGTGTCTGGAGCTTGGAGTCCTTCCCCAGGCTTGGCTGCTTATGAAATGGATCCAAGGGATTTTTTCAGGCTTTGGTTTCCACTTAACCTACTGTCAATGTTGAGTAGCTTAACTGGTAGAGCATGACACTTCTTTCTGACATTTACATAACTTTTGCCTCAGCACTTGGTTTCACTCAGGATTTTGGGGAAAGGGTGGATGGTCCTCCTGTCACTCCTGTTATAGAGTATTCAACAGGATTTTCAATGGTAGAGGTATGTTTCCAGTAAGCGTGGGTTTTCTTTGTTCCGTGTTGAAGTGGTAAACTTGCTACGTATTTCTCTGGTTAGCAATTTTCATTTGTTACTTCACCAGTTTTGAGGGATTTTGTAGGAGTTGCAGAGCTACTATTCTAATTACAAATACTCAAATATGTTAGGTAACTTATACATAAGTAAGGTCTCCGCGGAGACCTTATTGCAGCCTTTCAATATATGAAGGAGGCTTATAAGAAAGATGGAGAAAGACTTTTTACCAGGGCCTGTAGTGACAGGACAAGAGGCAATGGTTTTAAACTGGGAAAGGGTAGATTTAGGTTGGATGTAAGGAAGACATTTTTTACAGTAAGGGTGGTGAGCCACTGGAACAGGTTGCCCAGAGAAGTTGTGGATCTCACATTATTGGAAGTGTTCGAGGTCTGGTTGGACGGGGCTTTGAGCAATGTGATCTATTGACAGGGGGGTGAACTAGATGATCTTTGGTCCCTTCCAAACCGAATCGTTCTAAGTTTCTATGATTCTACTGCCTGTAGTCAATGATAGGGAGAGGACTTGTTTACTTTTCCTTAAGACCATATGTAAAACTCACCTACAGCATCAAATTCATAAACTGTCTAGCCCAGCGTGCTGTTGCAAACTGTGGCAACAGGCATTGCTACTGATGGGTTGCATGCAAGTTGAGCTGTTCCTGGTGTCCATTCTCCTTGTACTCTCCGGGATCTGCAGTTGTGTAAAGTGATGTATACATCAACATCATCTTTTGTTTAGTGTCTGTTTGTAAGGGAACTTGTGTAATCTCTCTTCAAATCTGTTGGCACAGTCTGCATCACTAATCTCAAGTGGGAACAAACCCAGAAGTTTACTATTTGCAGCTTAAAGAAGCACTTTCTTTTACCTCTTTTTAAACCAATCTCCAACTAGTTTCAGTGAGTGCCCTCAGTTGTGGGATTTCATGATTAACAGTTAATCATTCACCTCATCCATTACCTTCCTGAATCTTTGCACTTTGATCATATATCCCCCTCAGCCGTCTCTTTTCCAAGTTAGTGTCGGCCTTGTTAGTCTCCTAGGGCAGCTGCTTTATTCCTTTAATTATAATAGTCTTCCTTCCCTATGCTTTCTCTTAACTCCAAGTCCTCCATGACATGTGGATGCCAGAACCGCACCCAGTACTGAATATGTGGCTATATGAGGGTTTTACGGAGAGTCAAAATGATGCCCTCTGTGTTGTTCTTAATCACCTTCCTAGTGGTGCCCAGTATTTTATTGCTATTTCTGGTGGCTGCTGCTTGCACTGAGTTGATGTTTAAGAGAATTGTAAGTGGTGATAAAAGATCTCTGTCGTGAGCTCTAGCTGCCAAACTTTAGTTGAGTGTCACATAAGCATAGTTTAGCTTTCCCAAGATTCACCACTTTTTATTTATCTACGCAGAAGTTCATCTGTCACCTTTTGTCCACTGGGTTTTGTGAGGCCCTTCCACAGTAGCTCACCACAGGTACAGCACTTAACTGCCCGTTTGATTACTTGGACAAAGTTCTCCATTGGCATGCAGATCATTCAGTTCAGTAAGGAAAAAAAAAAAAAAAACCCAAAACCAAACCCCTGAAAAAGACCTAGCTGCTCAATAAACATATTGTCAAAGCAAATTATGTCTTTAAAATGTTCAGCTATCGAGGCTCAGGTAAGCTTTTCTTCGTACAACTGAGCAATGTGTGATAGGTCTTGCTGCCAGTATTCAAGTCTTGAGCAGTTTAATTTCTGATTTGTGTTGCTTGTAGTATCTGATAGTAAGACTGCTTTGGTTTATATTCAGAAGGTTATTAATTACAGCTTAAATCTTACATTGACTGCTGTTTCCCAAACTAGTAGCCAGTCATACAGTTTTATTAATGACTTTGTTAGACTGTATAGTCCCTATTAGAAGTTATTGCCCAGACCAGATGCCAGAAAATATTCAGATTTTCTTTGAGGTTCATCAATTCATGAACCCAACCAGCCAACTGTAAGATGGAAAACATTTTTTTTATAGACAGGGTGGAACTTTTCTAATCTTTAGATCTTCTGAAACCCAGCATAGTCAATAATTCCAAGTCATCTCAAACTGCTTCAAAGTTTTACATTCATAATTGGTATGTTTCTTTCAAATTAGTTATCATTTAAATCATGTCTTGTTAGGTAGTATTTTGTGTTCTGAAACTTATTAGTTTATTTTTTTCTGAATAAACAAGCTGATATTGATTGCATTTTTATGCTTAGAACAGTCATTTAGCACGGCCTGAGTGGAATAGCACTGGATGAGGTTTTCTTCAAGATACATCTGAACTGGTGGAGGAGGGGGGTAATTCAAACTGTAGCCTTAATATACTTCCCCTCTCCCCTTAAGTACTTCGCTTCATTTTTCATGCTTGCTGCTATTGCTTGTAAAGATTTTTCTGAGTTTGGGGAAGAGTCAACAGTATCAATAGAACTTTAAGAAGAGACTATAGGCAAGATAGATTTCAAACTGTGTACAATGGTGTACTTTTGTCTGTTAGGATAATTTTAGGAATTACTTTTAACAACAACTATTTTTTCCTGAAATTAATGCTCTTGTGGTACGAACCCTGAGAGTATTATGAGGTGCTTGTAACTTGTGGCATGGATTGGGGTTATTTATAATTTTGGTATGATCTTCATTTTGTTTTTGCAGGTTTGGACTAAGCAACAAATTTGAAGCAGAATTTCCTTCATCTTTAACTGGAAAGGTAAGTATCTGTGAACAGGAATTTGGAGTTAGAGTTAACATTTTAGTACAAAAACAAGAGTTCCAGGTGTAGACTATTGTAAGAGTAATAAATCACACTGCCATGGTACTAGTTTGTTTTTTTGTTGTTGCTTTTTTTTTTTCCTTGTAGGTTGCACCCGAAGAATTTAAAGCCAGCATCAGCAGAGTTAACAGTTGTCTTAAGAAGAACCTTCCAGTTAATGTACGATGGCTACTATGTGGATGCCTTTGCTGCTGCTGCACTTTAGGTTGTAGTATGTGGCCAGTTATCTGCCTCAGTAAAAGAGTAAGTTGAACTATTCATATAATTTTTAATAGAGTTGTACTGGGTTTGTTCTCATTTTGTTGTTTGTTGTTTTTTTTTTTTTCTCCCCCACCTTTAAAAACTGCATGCTAGAACTTAAATCAGTTTGATTTCATATATTTTGGTATCAGTTGTCTGTCATACTAGTTAAAGTGACAACAGACACGAGTCAGAACTTTGAGCTTATGACTCAATGAGTGGTAGTATAGCTGAATGTCTCTGCTAGAACCATGTACTGTACAGCACTTATTGAAGTAACTTTCAACATACTTTTTTAATAGCTGCATCTTCTCTGTGGTACACTGTTTGGGATTATCAGAATTTGGCAGTGATTGAGTGGCAGTTTGTTTTGAGGAGCTTCTGATTCCACTGTGGCCCAAATAGCCATACGTTTTTGTTTTAAAAGTCAATTTTTTTAAAGATAATTGATTTTTCTTTTTGGCTTTTCCTTCCAACCTGTAGATGAGTAAGGTTTGTTGGTTTTTTTTTTTTACATTAGGAACTAGAAAGTAGTGTTTTGTCTGTGTACACTTAGCATTTAATGTATTGTTCACAACAGAAGGTCATTGCATGTGCCTGTTTTAAACTTCCTTTCCCTCAGTGCAGTTAATTAGGCTACCCTCCTATCTCTTCTGTTTTCATGTGTGTAAAAATTGTCTTTGGCTAGTCCTATTTCACTACTTTGCAAGAAGTTTCTGTGCTTCCTCACGCTCTCCTCACTATTAATACTGTTCATCGTTCCATTTCATGGCAAGGCTTGTGTATATTCTCTCTTGTGTAATACCTCTTAATGCTACAAATTGTGTACAATTCAGTACACTGAACATCATCATGATTTTCTTTATCAAAGTCCTCCTTTTTACAGGGTCAGTAAATCAAGGCATTCTGAAAAATATATTTATAGGATGAACACTGATCATAACAAAACCTGTACACATTTTTATATCATCTAACTTTCTGCGTTAAGATCTTAACACTTAGTCCCTGTGAGAGATTACTTAAGGCTAGTTTCAATTGTATACAAAATAAGGTAGAAAAGCCTCCTGGTAACGTTGGAGTCCATGGAGGAAAAAAATTAAAATGTTGGCGTCAGTGTGAATTATATCAAACCCTAGGTTTTCTGTCTTGAAGCTGTCACAAACTAGTAAGTCTCCCGTAGCATGATCGTATATCCATATCCTGAAAGTCTGTTACAAGAAATTAGAATTTGCTGATTGCTTCAGCAGATAAGTTGGTGACTTAACTAGCTTGCAGAGAAGTCTACCTTTACCATTCTAGGCCTAGCTCTGTTCGTTACAAACGCAAGGGAAGCTTGCATTGCTACTGTCCATGTTTAACTTCTAAAGGAGAAAGCTTCTGGTGCTCTTTAGTTTGACCCATTTTTCTCACATAACATGCTGTTGTAGCTGGAAATGATAGCAGGATGTAACATGGTAGGGGCTGATGCCACAAGCGCTCATCATCTAAACTGGGGCCTCTTAATCTATTACCAGAAGTCACAAATAATCAACTTTTTATACATTGTTGAACAACGTCAGAAAAAAGGCAAGGGCTTGTAGCAGCTGGGGCCAGAAAACAGAGTTTGAAGCTGAGGAAGAAGGTTCTGTGTGGGAACCTGGTAAAGCAACAGTTAGAGAAGTGCTTCCGTTGAAGTTTGCATGGGATAGGAGTTAAGGTAAGCTCCCTTCCAAAAGAATAAATCTGGAAAAAAAAAAAAAAAACAAACCAATCCTGTGGATACTCTGTTCAGAGGAGGCTGGAAAGAGGTTAGTGGTGTAATTGTTGCTGTAATATACAGACTGCATAAAGACAGAAGAGTCTCGGGAAGAGAATGAACAGCAAGAGCAAGGACAGAAACTTGTGGTTGAAGTTCCAGAAGTCATCCTAGAGGTATGGCCCAGACTGTCAGTAAATGTTCCATTTTTCCTGTTAAAGCTGGTACCAGGAGACATTTAAGGACCTTTGCACCTTTTCCTGCACTTAAGATTGGGTGACTCAGGCTCAAGCTTGGATGTCCAGCATTAGTGAAACTGAGGTTAGGACTCAGCTGCCTAAACACAGTATCTTGTGCCACTGTGGATGGCACAGTGGTGCTAGACACTGATGGCACTGAATACCTGTGTTTAGGCAGTTTGATTATTCTTCCGGAATGAAAATCGTTTAAGTCAATCTGGAGACTTCAGATCTTGTGGCAACATCATTTGTCCATGTCAGCAGCTCAGCAAATGGATATCTGCTTAGAGGGTTGTCTGTCAGACAGAGAACCCAGAACTTGGTGTCCGTTGGGCTTCTGGAGAGTATAATATAGAGAAGAATTAATTAACTTGTGTTGTTAAAGACAAACTGAAAGGGAGAAGCATACTTTCCCAAACTAGAACTCTTAATCCTGGACCTGGCTGGGAAAGACTTTTTTTTTTTTCTGGTAGAGGAGGTAAGGAGGAAAGCTGTGGAATATTTTCAAGGACATATTTGCAAATTCTAATATAGGAAACAAGGGGAAGAGTTTGTAATGGTTCCAGTCGGGGCTACTACTCACAGAAGAGCAGTGCAAAGTTACTGCCACTTGAGTTGGTTTAATAGGTATGGGTGGATTGAACTTTATTTCTTGGTAGACCCATATCAGGAAAGTACAAAGTGATTTAAATCCTTTAAATCCCTCTTACCTGGAATTACGGGTTTTTGTACCCTTTAAGATCTCGGTACTGAATTGCATCCACGAGCTTGTAAGATTTTTCTTTTATGCGGGACATTGAGGCAGATGATTCTATGATTCTATGAGTTTCCATCAGTTTATGTCAAAGTGCTACAACTAATCCTATGTATTTTCCTAGAAGTGGGGAAAGTGAGAGACAGTGCATGATGTGAATTACCTGGAGCTGCACAGCAAATTGACAGCAACTGTAAATACAACCTGGTTCATCTAGGTTCCAATCTGTAATTTGCTCAGTAGATTCCAGTAGAACTGTGACAAGAAGCAACTTCATATTCTTCCACTAAGAATAATTTAAATCTATAGACTATTTTGGTTTGCTGCTAGTGCCCCGGTTTTGCTGATACATAGCAAACTAATGTATTCAGTGTGAAGTAATCACTTATATTTCAACTCTTGTACTGCTCGTCTCTGACTTTACTGTGTCTTGGAAGAGGGTTGTGTTGATCAAATGATCTTCCATGCCTTGATTTCTTCAGATCTCCTTTCGCTGGCCAGACTCCAGCCATAGGAATAGTCACAACAGCCAGGATTCACTTCTTGAGGAAACAGGGATCCAGAATGACATGTACCTGTTTCTTCCCTTCAGCTTTTAGACACAATGGATTCTTTCCCACTGACACTCATAATGTAAAACAATTATAACAAATGAACAATAAATAAAAAATTACTTATTTTAGAGTACCTGCACTTGTTTGAGAAGTGTTGTCCAGAGACCTTTGCTAATTCAGCCCTCTCCTAAGTGGTTCTTAGTGAAAGGACAGTTACTTAGAACTGGCCTGTGTTACACTCTTTGCTGCAGTAGTCACAAAAGACTCCCAAGACCATATAATTAGAGGGTTTCATTTCTGAAAGCAGGATGGGAGTGTTCCCATGTAGAATTGAAATTTGTGTAGAACATGTTTTAATTGCACAATAAAAACGTACCAGCCTTCATCTTTGCCCTTTCCTACTGAAATAGAAGACTAACAAATTTGTTTTGTTGAATTGCATGTACAGTGAGCTAACAAGTGGGAGTGTTTCTCAAGTTAAGGATTTTATTAAATGAAACAACAGTTTCAGCTATACAATGGCTTACTTTTAATACAGGAGAGTAATTTTTCTCAGAATGACAGATTAAGAAATGCCTGTTTTAATGAGGCTGAATCAATCTACCATGTTCTTAAACTGCTGGTGTACTTGCAGCTCCTTTTGAGATAAGCATTTTAAGGTTCATGTAGACAAAATGAAACTCTGCAGCTTCAGAGTTTGTGAAGTTACAATAAATCTCTTAATCTTTCTCTGTATTATGTATTTTTACTGCCTTTCATTGACTTTTTAAATTCTAACATGGGAATGTTATCACAAATGTAAATATGATTTTTGAAATTACAGACAGTTATTGAAAGTTTGTGTATAATGGGAATATATGTTTATTTTTGTGCAGGGAAAAACAAGTTCTGGGTTTGTCTCCTTAAATCAGCAGGTGCTTCAAACTATGAATTTATTAGGTCACAGACATTTGTAAACTTAATTGTTAATTATATCACTTTAATGCATTTCCATGCAATGAAAGCTTTCCCTTCACTGTATTTTTCTTTTCAGTGCTTTGTTCAGCACTAGTTTTGGAAGTCTTTGTACAGTATTGTTTCCTTTCTTATTTTGCATTGAGGTATTTGAGAAAAAGCCTGGTACTCTTCACCAGTAGAATAAATGTTTAATTTGATTCAATATCTTACTGCCTCTCTCCTTTCATGTGGTCTTGATTTGATTTTAATGAATAAAAGCTGCAAGAAAATTACAGGAAATACAGTCCCTCATTTGCAGATCTAGATCGTCAATGATCTTCAACAGTTTTACTCATGGATTGTACCATCCTTTCTGGGACAAGTTCCAGATTGTACAAATGAACATTAAGTCTTTAAGTTATTGTCCTTTAAATAAAAAGAATGACATAGTGAATTATAATTCAAAAAGCATTACAGGCTGAGGTGCCCATTTGAAGCCACTTTCTCAAATGACTTGACACTCATTTTCAGTATTAACTAAATGCTGTAGTTCCTGATATGTAAATAGGATAAATAATTTCAACAGAAACAGTAACAATGAAAGCTATGTTAGAATTGCAGTACTGCTAGATTTCTTAAAAGCTGGTATTGTACATGTAAATTGCACGTTTCAGAAGGTTCATGGGCAATCTCTTAAAACGAACAGAATGAGATATTTAATAGCGATCTGTACTAACACTTTCAAGAGCTACTTGTTTGTTTGTGAATTCACACAAAGCTGATGA